ACAAGAGTAGAAAGATTTTTCACTGGGTGTCCTTTTTTTATCATTTGAGTTTATACCATTTAAATGTACTTACTATTCACGGGGTTATCTTTTTCATTGTTTGAATGGATACCATTTGAATGTGTGGCCTACTAAAAATTAATAAATTTTAAATTTAGAAAATTCCTTGAAAGTCACTTTCAGAAACCACATTAGAACTCCCCTTAATAGTCTAAAAATAATCAGAAAATAATACTGCATGTCCCTTACTCTTACAAAAACTGCAATTTTCCCAAGTATATTTTAAATGTGTCCTGAAACCATTACCAACGATTTCTGCCTACTTTTCTTTCACAAAGTATAAATTCAGAATACCAGAAAAACATGGTAAGTAGTTCTTTTCTGTTTTTCCCTTCCACCACGGAGTTGCTAATGGGAAACAATATAAATTTGCCAATAGGAAAAAAATGCTAAAAGGCATAAAATCACAAATCAAATAAAAATTTTACCATACTACTTATCTGTTAACCCAGGGTTATCCAAAGTGTGGCTCCCATACCACTAATGTGAATGGTAATTATCGCCAGTATGAAAACTAATATTTTAATTGTTATGTATTTTAACATGTAGTTCATTATACCTAACAATACCTACATACCACATGTACAACTTCACGAATATCATTGCCTAAGATAAATCTACTTAGTAAAATCATGAATCTATCTGAAAAATAACAGTACACATGTGTATGAGTCAAGTTTTAGAAGCACCAGTGCACTATACAAATTAGATTGAGGCACACTGGGAATGATTACCAGTAATCCTAGGAAACTGCAAGCACAGGGGGTTACTGACTCCCAATAGCCAAATAAAAGTCAACCAACCTCTCTTTTTAAGCCCTGCCCTTTTCAGTTTCTGGTGGCTTTAATTCAAGATTACGGTTAGACCCTAGTCTTTCTTCTTTGCATCCTAAGTGATACCCTCCACTGTCCTCTTAGAAATGACCAGCCTGCATTAACCACAATGAATCTTAAGACCAAACTTTGTGCTCACAGGGAGACTCTTCGCTAAAGGCTAGCACAACTAAATGACAGAAGTTGTGGTCTCTATTCCTTTCACCTCTGGATCACTCCCACCCTCCTATCTTCCACCCTAAGGTTTCAAAGGTAGTTCCAAGGGCATGAAGAGAACTAGAGTCAGTCTCCAAGGAGAGGAATGGCTTGGGCCTCAGCAGAGCTCTTCAGTATTCTCCCTGGTTCTTACTGCCTCTTCATATATCTATTACACCTATGTTGTCCCTGAACCACCAATATTCCCCAATTGGCTGTGGCACCAAGTCAAAGCCCGCACTTTCCCTCTCAGAGCCCTATACTCCATTATTGTTCTCCACTGCAGGCTTGATACCACTGCACCCCCATTTAAAAGAAAAAAAAAAGGCCGGGCACGGTGGCTCAAGCCTGTAATCCCAGCACTTTGGGAGGCCGAGGCGGGTGGATCACAAGGTCAAGAGATCGAGACCATCCTGGTCAACATGGTGAAACCCCGTCTCTACTAAAAATACAAAAAATTAGCTGGGCATGGTGGTGCGTGCCTGTAATCCCAGCTACTCAGGAGGCTGAGGCAGGAGAATTGCCTGAACCCAGGAGACGGAGGTTGCGGTGAGCCGAGATCGCGCCATTGCACTCCAGCCTGGGTAACAAGAGCGAAACTCCGTCTCAAAAAAAAAAAAAAAAAAAAAGAGATATTCCTGTTCTCAGGCTGATGTGAGGTTAGAGGTGGATTAAATGGCAGAGCACAAACTAATTCACCAGGTATGAGAAACCAGCCCCTACTACCCTTATTCCCCCAAGAGTATTTGCATTAAGAAACTTGCATTTTAAAAAAGATTAATGAGACACCTTTTATGTGAAAGAATTTCATGCTATATAAAGGTGATTGAGATCACCTGAGAAATTTTAGGGTTCACTGCAGGACTGTCTCCCAGCCGGCAGTCAGGCAGTATTTACAATCTGGAATAAGGGTGCTGAGACTAGAAGAGGGTTGTCAATGGTCTTACTAAACTCTATTTATGTATCTGTTTCCACCACTACCCAACAGCTCATTTAGTATATAGCTGTCTGCTCACAACTTCAGAGAGGAAAAAAAATTTTTAATATAAAAACTAATTCATCCTCAGAAACTGAACCAATCCCTTTACCCTAGCTAAAGGATGTTTCTGAAACAGGCAGTCATTCACCAGTATGACAAAATGATGTGTCCTACATAGTCCTCAAAAATTCTGTTTTATTCATACCAGATTCTGGCAAGAATATTACCACACGTCATCTCAGAGAATGAGGTCCGAAGTCCTGACAGAGGGGTCCCAATTAGAGTCTCTCAGGTTACCAGGATCATTTGCCCAGACATGTATGTTCAGAAGCCCTAAATTCTTCCCTTTAAACTTGAAAATACAGTTCCAAACTCAGTTTTCAGTAAAATATCTTTGAGAAGGGTATATTTAAGTTTCAATGTAATATCTACATCCCCTGCAGAGAACTTTAATTTAGAAATCACCTGTTTTCAAAAATACCATAGCCCAGATGCCAAAGCATGATGTTTATCTTCACATAAAAGAACACCAAAAAGAAGATTTTATTTTGAAAACTAGACCTGGCACTTTGATATTTGTTTTCTTTCACATTTTATAACTACCTTTTGTCACTTAATCCTATTATTAAAGAACTAAAGGAAATCAAAGACATACCAATATAAGACCAGCAATTTGGAAGACAAGAGGGAAAAAATTAGGAGGCTGAAAAAGGAACACACAAACTCACCAAGTCAGACTGTTTTTAACAGCATAGCATACTGTGGCCAATACCATTCTGACGATAAATTCTGAGAGAAGTTCCCTAGCACCCAGTGAAGAGGTAAAAAAACAAATTCTTGCCTCAGCAATTCCTCACAGTCATTTTCTCCATCTGAGACTGGCCCTAAATTTTCTAAAACAAAGCCCACAATAACATGCCCCTTCAACTTATATCCTCTCTCATGGAAGAAAGGTACATCCTGTTCCATCATTTTCCTCTTAAACCCTGCCTATGACCTGGTCCCTAAAAAGGAAATGTTCCTTTCACCTCTCCAAGTCTAGGCCCTTCATTCTCTTCCTCCACTGGTTCCTTGGCGGGGTCGGGAGCAGAGGTAATACTTCCCCATCACTGTATTGTATTTCCCACACTTCGGTTCACATTACGTTTTTCTTCTTAACCCCCAGTAATCTGGCTTGTCCTAGCAATTCTATGAAACTGCTGACTCCCAATAACTAAATAAATGCCGACCAACCTCTTTTTCTTAACCCCGCCCTTTTCGGTTTCTTCTGCCTCTATCTAGCCTTGGCCCTCGACTCGCCAAGGGAAATTCAAGACTGTGGTTAGACCCTAGTCATTCTTCTTTGCATCCTAAGTGATCCCCTCCACTGTCCTCTTAGAAATGACATCAGAAAACAGTCTTAGACCTATGCATCTCCAGCCACCAGTAAATACGAGAGCCCTCGACTCTATCATCATTAAGCCCTTCAACTTTACCTCACACGTACAAAACCAACTTCAAAGTCTTCCCAGGATTCCTGTCCCATTCCACCTTCACTTCCTTATATCTACATTATCCTCACCACGTCAGTCAAATTTCCCTTCACAGGCAGCCACCAAAATCTGCTCGTTTTTCCATACTAGTACTGCAACTCCTACAAGAATTAATATGTTTTTTCCATATTAATATCCCATCCACTATAACTGCAGGTTGCTTCCTTCCTAAAGTACAAAAAATGTCTGCAGTGTTCAAAATGAGAAGTTGCTCTAAGACTCCTTTCCCATGGACCACCCTTCCTCAACTGAAATGCAGTCTGGGTGAAAGTGTGAAAAAAATGCAGGAGAGAGAAGCTCAGCTAACACCACTGCCCTCATCTCACCTGCCACAAATATCTGCATCTCCCCCAGCTACCAAACCTTTCTTCACATAAATTTCTGTTCAGCTGAGAAGCCCCCTCAGCCTCTTTAATAAACCCATTTAAAAAGTCCTGTACTTCTTGATCAAAAGGAATCATCGCTGTGATTATGTGTAAGGAAAATAAACCTTTAATGTTATTTGAAAAAACCAACAAAAAAACCAAAAACCTTCCCAACCAGCTTTCATACGTTAAATTAACTTTGGCAAAGTACCTGTCCCCAGGGCTTGGGGTAATAAAAATAATAATAATCTAGGTGAAACATCTAGGTGAAACAGAAAAATCTATTTTTTAAAAAAGGAAAAACTTGACCAGACAAAGCAAGTAACTAGCAACATGTACCAAAATTTGCTTGGGCAAACGTCGCCCGTTTCTCCTTGGTGTTATCAGAAGCTACAATAGGAGAGCGGAACGGTTCCTAGGAACCACGTCAGAGCCGCTGCGGAGTTCACAAGAGCTGCGTCCACACGGCAGCCAAATCATAAGTTGCAGGAGCGGCTGTTGTTAACCCACAGCTAAGAATAACGCTCGACTTTCCAAAATAAAAAGACGGAAAAACGAAGTCTCCTGGGCAAGGATTCGGGGCGGCACAGAGGGGGAAGAGGAATTCCTGCACTGCCCTCATCCCTCGGAGCCTGGGATCCCAGGCGATTCGCTCACCGCCCGCCTGCAGGACTGCGCCGCGGGCACCACGTGAGATCCCCAGGGCCGGCGGGGGGCGAGGGGTGCCCACTCAGGGAGGGCGGCACCTTGCAGGTGCGGTGAACGGCCCCCTCGCCCACGTTTATCCGGACTGGAGCCCGCGGCTCCCGGCTGGGTTTCCGGGTGGTTCGCACTCCTGAATTAGCAACGAGGTCGCGGCAGGTTCGAGGTAAATCGAGTGAAAAGAGGAGGAAAAGTCTCAGGGGTCTGGGGACCTCCGCGCTTTCAAGGGAGGCGGGGGCCGGGCAGCAGGCGCGAGGGTGGGTGAGGCGTTCCCGCCGCGGGGCCCGGGCTCGGGCGGTGGGCCTTGCCCCGCGCGCCTACACAGGCGCCCTACCCTGGCTCTGCAGGATCTCGTGCTTGAGGCCGCCGGTGTAGTCGATGAGCTCCTCCAGGCCGCGCTCGCACAGCTGCCCGTAGCCCGAGAACTTGTGCAGCACCTTCTCCAGCTCGCGCTCCACCGTCACGCATTGATCCATGCCGGAGGCGGCGCTCGGCTCCCCGGCGCCCGGGTGTCCGCAGACGTTCGGCCCGGGCCCTGCCGAGGCCGCGTCCTGCTCTTCGTCCCCCAGGCGGGCGGCGCGGGCGGCTGAGGCGGCCAAGGCGGCGTGCGCACTAGCCGCGGCGCCGGGGGAGCCCCGCGCAGCAGGAGCCCGCCTGCCCCATGGCGCCCTCGCCCCCCAGCGTGTCGCCGCCGCCCCCGTTCGCTCCCTCCACCCGGCCCCGCGTCCCCGGGCCCCGCTCGCGGCGTTCGAGTGCCCGCGGCTGCGCGGCCGATTGTTTTTGTTTTCACGGGAACCGACCGATGACCTGGTTCTCCCGGGCGGCACCAAGCACCGCCGACTGGGGGGAGGGGGACGGGCCACCCCGGCGAGGAAAGGAGGCGGCGCGGGCCGTACCAAGCGTACCCTCGAAGGGGGGGGCCCGGCAATCGCGGGCGGAGGAAGGCGACAGGCGCCCACAGGGGCTGCCGCTCTAAAGGTGTGGGCCGTACCACGCAGAAGGCGTGCAAGGGAGAGGTCGAGGGTGGAGCGAGGCCCCAATTGGCCTGAGGAGCTAAATAGGGAACTTTGGAGACAGCCCCAGCGCTCAGAGAGCGCTACAACTACGCGCTCCGTAAACAAGGGGGCGGAAACCGGCCCTCACCACTCCGCCCAGAAGCGGGGAAACCCAACCAATGGGCGCGGAGAATGGTAAGAAGCCAATCCATGGCCGAGGCGTAAGGCTTCAGCCAATCCGGGTTGATGGGCCAAACCAACGGGCTCGCTGTTGGAGGGGTTGACTTGGAGAGCGTACCGAGAAACGAGTCGTTTCTGGAAAGCCGTGGGGGAAAACCAGACAAAAATACAGAGGGCTGTTTTCCATAGGACGTCGCCCTGACCCCAATTTATTTCGTCTCCTCATCGCTCTTAAGGGAAAGGGATGAAGTCATTCCGAACTTTTGGGCGACAGATCCGCCTCCCAGGATGAAAAACCAAGCCAGGCCGCCCGGGGGCGGGTGCTGAGGCGGGTCGGGAGCGCTAATGGGAATTGAAGGCGGAAGTGATTGGGTCTGGGTGAGGGGAGCCGCGAATGACCCGCGCCGTCTGTCAGCGATGCCCTGGGCTTGCGACACCCTGGAGGTCAGGTCCCCACGCCCCGCGAGCCGTAGTGGCCCTTTGGCCCCAGGGCCGGGAACCTCTCCTGACGGTGGCCTCGCCCCGGAGCCCTGAGCTGGGCAGCTTAGCCGAGTGGAAAGAACACGCGCTGGAGAGCTGGACAGCTTGGCCCTTGCCCCCTGGGAAGCCTGATGCTATTAAATAGGATCGGCTTTACCCCCTTGGGTGAATCCTTCTCCTAGCTTGCGATGGCGTCTCCAGCCTTGGCCTAGACATCCGTGGTCAGCATCGCCGGCACTAACCTTTGCATTTCTTCAGGAGCCCAGCTAGTTCGTGCCTCACGACTTCTGCACTTGCCCTTTCCTTGGCCCAGAAAACTCTTCCTCCTACCTTTTTCATCCTAAAGTTCTCAGCTCACTTGTCCCCTTACACAGTCCTCCCCTGCCTGGCCACACTAATGTACTTCCTCCCCACCGTTAATATCGTAACACATTTTTAAAATTTCCACACCACTTAAACTCTGAAATGATCTGATGTTTTATTTTTCTGTCTGCACCACTTCCATAAACCATGAAGGCCGGCCCCTTGCCTGTCTGAGTTTTTTGCCTAGAACAGTCCCTGGCGTGAGGTGGTAGGCAAAATCCTTTTTTTTTTTTTAAGTGATAACCTTTTTGACCCTTAACTTCCTTAAAACAGAAATAACTGGAATTAATAATACTTAACTAAATTGTTAGACTAAAGGAGATAATATATGTAAATGCCTATAATAGGCTCATGATAACCACATAATAAAGGTGGTAGTAAAAAAGGTAATAAAAGGGCAGCCCCAACTGATGTTATTTCAGATCTCCCTTCTCCCTACTCACTCCATTTTTCTCGCTTCCCGTTTTTATTGGTAGATGTCTCTGATCTTCACTGAGATTTTTTTTAAAAAAAAAAGGAATCCAGCTCCAGCAACCTCTATCACTCTTCTCTGAGTATTGCTGTGTACCATCCATTTTGTGAACACTCTCACGTACCCAAAGGACCAGGATTCCTTTCTCCTTTCCCAAGACAGCCATTGGGGCCTGCTGGCTGCCACGTAGGTTCTTGCTTTCTGCTTTCAGGCCAAATAGGTTTGACCTACCTAGGGGAGGAACCTTCATTTAACCCTCCTCAAGCACGCATTTCTTTCACTGTCAAACTGCCTAGACAAATCCATTTATTCCTTTTTTCTTCAAGGATCACCTTGATAAGCTCAGTCACCCTTTTCTCTGTCTTCTTTTTTCTTCAAAGGGTTGTTTCAGTATGAAATATTCCATGTAAGGCACCCAACCAAATGCCTGGCACAAGAGTCATTATTACTGATCAGAAATAATCAATAACTCCTCATTATCTACAGCTTCAGATCCTCAACGATGTGGCCTGCCCAGTGTAGCAACAGAGCACAAGCCCCCATCCAGGCATGAAGCACTTCCCCACTCTCTGCATGACTTGAGTACAGCTCATTCATACTTTGTCTTCTCTTGGAACACTTTGCTTTATTCTGTTTTTTGAATCCTCCCTTTCTTCAAGTAACAAGTCTTACTTTAGTGACACGTTCTAGAACCTAGGCCTGCACTCTTCAGTACCATAGCCACCGGCCACATGTAGCTAATTTTTTTTTTTTTTTTTTAGACGGAGTCTTGCTCTGTTGCCTAAGCTGGAGTGCAGTGGTGAGATCTTGGCTCACTGCAACCTCCACCTCCTGGGTTCAAGCGATTCTCCTGCCTCAGCCTCACAAGCAGCTGGGACTACAAGCATGCACCACCACACCCAGCTAATTTTTGTATTTTTAGTAGAGATGGGGTTTCACCATATTGGCCTGGCTGGTCTCAAACTCCTGACCTCGTGATCCACACACTTCAGCCTCCGAAAGTGCTGGGATTACAGGCATGAGCCACCAGGCCTGGCTCACATGCAGCTATTTAAATTGAAATTTAAGCTAGATAATTAAAAAGTTCCTCAGTTGTACTAACCATATTTCAAATAACCACATGTGGCTGGTGGCTACTGTATTAATTAGCATGAAATAAATATTTCCATCACTGTAGAAAGTTTTATTGAAAAGTGCTGGTCTAGATCATGACCACCGTAAAGTTACCAGCCCTACCTTTAACTGCTGTAACACCTCTGTGTAAGTCATTTCATGCCTTAGTGCATACTGCCCCCATATTTTTAGTTAACTTTTCCAACATGTGCCTTGTTGACTTAACTAGACTATCAGCTTCCAGATCAGAGCTGACTTCTTTTTATCTCCCCTGTTTTAATCAGCATGAAAAAAGTGTTCGTTAAAGAAAAGAAAATTCACAAATTAGAGGAGAATAGTCTTCAGAGTTAGCTGGGAGAGAAAAATAGTACTTTTAAGAGCAGAGATTTATGTTCCCACTTTACTTTGTATTGGCCCTTTCTACACAGCGCTTAAGTGCTTTAAGCATAAACTATGAATTGTCAAAGAAGCACCTCTAGAAACAACAGAGAAACAAATTTAATTTTCAGAGCAACTGCAAATTATTTTTCTATAATTGCATTTTCACCACACAACAAAAAAGTACTCATACAAACAAACAGAAAATCCTACTGTAGTGTCAGGTGGACTCCTTCCCCCACATGCTGTTCAGCCTGGAGAAGCTTTAATTGACACTCATTCTTGACTTTGCTCTGGTCTTCCCCTCCATTCCAGATTTGACTCTGTAAAATTTAAGTAAACATTGAAAAAAAAGGAAAAAGAAAACATATCTTTCAGCCAAAACACATATTTATTGTTGGAAAATTAGAAAATACAAATAAGTAAACAGAAATAAAAGTCCCGTGAAAGCCCAAGACCTAGAAAAAGAAATCAGTTTTAACATTCAGGGTGAATTTTCACAGATTTGTTCTTTTTTGTGCATACACATAAGCTCATATACACATTTTTATGAAAGAAAACTCTAATTGCATTTACTGTTTTGTAAATAGCTTTGTTGTCCTCTTGACTTTTCTTCAACAACAACAACAAAAATGGTTTTTAGAACTGCTTTTGACATCTTTTTGAAATTTTTAATAATGGTTACACTAGCTTATAGCTTATTCAACACATCTCATACATATTCTTTTCACTTTGATTTATTCTTAGAAGACATAAACCAGAGAGAGACAAGATAGAAAAAGGCAAAATTTCATCTCTCAAATTTGAGAAATTATATTTTTCAAAACCCTCTGCTTTTATGCAAAATACACTTTAAGATAAGGGTAAGAAAGCCTACGTTTATACTTACATTAATAAAAATGAATCAGCAAGGTTGTCAAACAACTTACTAACTTCTTGACTACTCTAGCTCACAACTAATGTAAAAGTAAGAGTAAACTGACAAAATGTGTTACTAAAAGAAATACTGAATTGTGAAAAATAGCATTTCTTCTCACATAAATCAGTTTTTATCTTGTTTTGTTTTGTTTTCTAGGAGTCAGTGTCTCGCTGTGTCACCCAGGCTGGAGGGCAGTCGTGCAATTATGGCTCACTGCAGCCTTAAACTCTTAGGCTCAAACCATCCTCCTGCTTCAGCCTCCCAAGCAGTTGAGATTACAGGTCTGAACCACCCACTGTACCTGGCACAGTTTTATCATTTTCAAGTAAAAAATGTATATCTATCTGAGATATTTCTGGGAATTGCTGCTATGACCAGTTAAAGAAATGGTTGAAAGCACAACTATTAGCAAAAAGTCTTGATCTGAATGTATTATACATCTTTTGTGTCACCTGTGTGGTTTGGGGCCTGTTTGCTGGCTGGATGAATGATACCTGCTCACCGTTATGATTGGCTTTTAAGGACTGGATATGCACTATTGACAGTAGTGCACTTCTGTGTACACCATCCCTGTCCTTCAGATTCACTAATGTTTGTAGAAGATAGCCTCTCCTAAGCTGTGAAGCCCTCCTCACTGTGGCCTTCACCACTCACCAGGGCAGTTCTAGTCTGGTTGCCTGCCAGTTAAATTACCCCCTCATAAACTTCCATGAGGACCTTATAGACTTCCGTGAGTATAGTTTGTAGGCACTGCCCTTACACCTGGGTGCTTAGCCTGTAGGGGGTTATTTATACCTTTTGAAACCTGCTGTTTCCGGCTTTGTTGTCTGAATCTTTTCCTTTCTGGAATCTGGATGTTTTTCTTAGGTTTTCTGCTCACTGTTGGTGTGCTTTACCAGCTGTAGCAGGAAGGGTGCTAGCACTATAATCTTGAAGTAATTCACTCAACCTCTCTCGGCCTCAGCTTCTTTATCTGTAAAATGAAAAGCTTGGAATAGACGACCTTTAAGTTCCTTCCAGTTCTAAAATTGCAGAAATGCCAGGGCTTATTAAGTAACACGTGAGGTGAAA